TTCTAGGCACTGTGCTAAAGGTTTTTACATACATCATCTCTCTCAATCCTTCTAGCATCCCTGTGAGTAAAACATTATTTTCTTGAGATTACAGATGAGAAAACTGAGGCTGAGTCGTACCCCATCTCGTTCAAGGTGAGAGAATCCAGATTTCAACCTAATTCAAGCCCTGCAATAAACACAAACATAGAGTGTTTGGATTTTAATTCAAAACCTCATCATAAAGAAAGGGAAATGAATTCAATGAATTAGCTAATTCTAATTAAGCGGCACTAAATATATTTAGCATATTTTTACAGTAAGGCGCTCTTTGCGGTATATGGTTGCTTGTGACAGGTCACCCACTTATCTTCTCTGTAGACCTAAATAAACCAGGCAGTGGAAGGAGGGGCAGAATGCTACAGAAAGAACAAAGGAGCTTTGACATAAAGATGGCACATTTGTTAGAATAAACAGGAGCTAAAGTCAACAACGCATTCCAGGCCTCAGTGTGCTCTAGAGTCCCAAGACCAGAAAGAGGATAAACAGAAGGAATAAAAGACAGTTGTCATCCAATAGCGTTGCCCGTAGGTGCAGGAAGCAGACGCCACCCCCAGGCGTAAATGGACTCCAGTTCTCTGGCAGGTCCTTTAAGCTCCTTGCCCTCCGGTGTGATATTGATTCAGCAGCTAAACGTGAAAGGAGCTTAAAGAGGGAGAGACAAAGTCTGTGAAGTCCTGGGTTGTTTATTCAGTATCTGAGTTTCTGGACTGGGAGAACATGTTGCATGGTGCAGGAGACACAGCTGCAACAGCCTGCAAAGCTGTTCTGAGTAAGTGTGGATAATAAAAATAACAACAAAATCTACCTCCCCAGTGTATAATTTCCAAAGCTCCCTGTAGTGTAAGTATGATATTCATAATTACACTCATTTTGCTGCCGAGGTCCCATAAGGCCTCAGCAGGTGGTTAGGCAACTCCCCCAAAGTTTCACAGAAGCACATTGACAGGAGAGCCATAGACAGAAGACAGGTACAGAGAGGTGCTGGATGTCAGGCCGTTTGGTCTAGTCCCCTGCCCAAAGTGTCAAAGGTCTTATAAAGAACAATTGTATGCATCTGACTGTCTTTATTTTCTGTTCCTTCTCTCCTTATTACAGAAGAGCCTACCCAAGGCCAATTTCTCCCCTGATGCACCCAAAGTCCATACTCCTTCACTTATCCATACACATTGCTCCAAATATTAACTCTCCCGGCATTATCCATTGTGCCTGTGCTATTTGACATCCCCATCAGCATATAAACATGCTGCTATATTTACAATCTGACACACACACACACACACACACACACACACACACACACACATACAGAGAGAGAGAGAGAGTGGGTGAACCTTCTCTGACCCCCTATCTTCCTCCAGTTCTGCCCTACTTGCCTATTCCTCTAATATAGAAAAGATGGGTCTCCATATGGATATAGGATTAGATAGATAGATATGTGAGACCGTATGGATATAGGATTAGATAGATAGATATGTGAGAAAACAAATCTATTAAAAGGTTAATGATAGAATTTAAGTAGTGTGTATGTGGGTATCCACTATGTACTTCTTTCTTTCAAGCTTTCTGCATGTTTGAAATTTTTCTAAGTAAAATATTGGGGGTAAAGCTGTCTCTATTTCCTCTCACCCTTTTCTTTCTATTCTCTCCAGAAACTACTCCAATATGTCTTTCATCCCCATTTCTTGTCAAAGTCTCCGATGACTTTTGTGTTGCTAATGCAGTGGTCACTCTTCCAACCCTCATACTGATACATGGGCAGGCATATGACACAGGTGGTCACTTCCTTCTTCTCCACTCAACTGCATTCAACTTCTGGGAGGTCACTCTGTCTTCATCTCCCTCCTAGATCATGCCCTTACCTCCCCCAACATCTAGACTATAGTGAGCCACAGCACTCATTCCCAGACCCCCTTTCTATTCACACTCCCATGCTGAGCTCACCCAGTCTCATCACTTTAAATGTATCTTTGCAGATGACCTCCAAATATGTATCTTTAACCCAGACCTCTCCCCTGAACTCTGAACTCTTATATCTAATTGCCTCTTCTACATCCTCACTTCAAGGTCTAACAGGTATCCCAATCTTAAGATGTCCAAAGTCAAACTCCTCGTTTTATACCAGCACCTCCACCCTCACCCAAATCTACTTATCCCCACAGAGACCTCCATGTAAATATGTCCAAACTGGCCTGCTGGAAGATGGTAGGCCATGCAGAAGAAAACCAAGGCACCCAAAAGGACATCCTGCCAACTGCAAGATGTTTGAGTGAGACCATTCTGTCAGCCAGTTACCAGCCAGCCAACCAGCTAATGACAGATGCATGCAGAGGCTTCAGAAAGATCAGCTGAGTTATACCAGACTAGAAGAACCAGCCAACCCACAGAATTATGAGAGCAATAAAAGGTTGTTTTCTTAAGCCACTACTATTTAGGGTGGTTTGTTTCTTAAAAAAAGAAAAATGAAGAACACCTAAAATATTCTAGAAAGTATGTTTAATTTTAAGGTGAAAGAGTCACTCTTAAAGAAAGATAATTACCTAATTCTTTAAATGCATGCATTGGGAGCTGGCCTTGTCATAGTTCCTTGAATATTTATAAGGGAATATATCCCTTATTTCCTTGAATATAGGCTTTTAAACTGCCCCCATTTTCTCAACCAGGAAACTTCTCATGGTAGGACAGCTTCTTCCAACTATCTTGAAAACTCTTGAGTAGGGCTTTTTGCATACTCTAAGTTGTGGAGATGTCTGAGTTGATACATTCCTTTCTTACTAAACTTCAGACAAGGAAAAGAGACAGATCTACACAAATGTGCCCTCTGTTTTCTTGTTTAATGATGCCATGTGATATCTCCTGGATTACAAATCTGATTAGTGTGGTTCACGTGGCTAACACCCCTCTATTGTGTATTGATTCACTTTTGAGATGGGATCAAAGTATGCTGAATTATTAAAGGCTTCATTTTTGACTCCAGGTTGGATGCAAATATGTTTTCAAAGTGCGTTATATTTTTAAAATTCTCCCAGAAACGTCATTAGGAAGCCACTGAAATCTAACAATTTTGGATTTGATCTGTCAGAGTAGCCTGAGGATGCAGCAACTACAAGGCCCCAGATCCTGGCCCAGAGCAATTAAACTTAACAAAATCTTGCTAGCGAATCAGCAGCCTGCTCTGACTGCCAGAGTAAAATTAACAATTCTCAAGTGCTTAGAAAAATCCTGAAGACAGCTATGTCCACTTCTTTTTCCTCTAATTTGCTAACCTCCCTCCTATCACACTTGGCTCTCATGGAAGGAGCCAGGCCTATGGGAACCCCTGCTTGAACTCCCCCCAGCTAGCCTCAAGTACATGATTCTCACCTGTGCCCCCAAACTTCCCTGTATGACACCTGGTTAATTCTTAATATATGGCCTTGCCATTGTAAGTTTATCAGCCATCTGCCCTACTAGCCTGGTATTCCGTAAGGTCAAGTACCAAGTCTTATTTACATCTGCATACCCTATACCCAGCAAGGGGTTCTGCACAACATGGGTGCTCCAAATAGGCTTTGATTGAATGAAATCAACAGATTCATGCCTCATTATCAAATATAGATCTCCCCCAAGAAACTTGTGAACTGATGAAAATTATACAAGTGTTTGTTACCGTCATCATCATCATCATCACTCACTTCATTTCAATAGCTGTGTTTCCTGGATTTAATTTGTTTCCCCAATCTTCATTATCTAGTTAGCAGTGGGAGGCTGGGCAGAAATCCAGGCCTCCTGGCTCCAAGTCTGTTCATCTTCCTTCATAACATTTTTACCATTAGCCTGATGGAGACCTGCAGCGGTCAACATAGCAAGAGCACAGAGAGGATTCTGGGATCGCACAGCCAGGCCATGGCCCCAAGTAATGTGTGAGAAGAAAGTTATCACTCAGAAAACAATTACCCTGTCCCATGGCCGGGTGTGGTGGCTGATGCCTATAATCCCAGCACTTTAGGAGACTGAAGCTAACAGATCACTTGAGGCCAGGAGTTCAAGACCAGTCCGGCCAACATGACAAAACCCCGTCTCTACTAAAAAAAAATAAAAAAATTAGCCCAGCATGGTGTCTCACGCCTGTAATCCCAGCTACTTGGGAGGCTGAAGCACAAATCCCTTGAACCTGTGAGGCGGAGGTTGCAGGGAGCCAAGATGGCACCACCGCACTCCAGCCTGGGCCACAGAGCGAGACTCTGTCTCAAAAAAAAAAAAAAAAAAAAAAATTTTCCCTGTCCCATCACTCTGCTCATCACTATTATTTTACCTTTTCAAAATTCTCACAAGAACATTGTGAGGCAGGTAATAATTTTTCGGATGAGGAAATAATGGCAGTGAATTTTCTAGGGCAGGCAGTGAATCAGTGGCTTGACTATGCAACACCATTCAGCTAACTCACCATCCTAGATGTCTAAGGATGTCTCTACCCAGCTCAAGAAGACTTTCTCAAAGCCCTACTTCCAGGCACAATAGAAAACATGATATCTATTTACAAGGCCAACATTACTGGAGGCTGAGGAAAGAAGAGGCTGGTATTAGGAAAAACAAACAAAAACAGACCAAAAAAAAAAAAAAAAAAACTTCAGTTTTTAGGACCAAGCAGTTCTTCAAAACAAAAGGGAAACTAAAGTAGATATATTTCGTGAATATGAATCTGTCATTATTCAAAGTGTCTGAGCCCTTTAACCTGAGAAGTTTCAATATGCTGTGTGTGACTCTGCTCCCGGACCCAGCATTTCACAGACAAACACCTGGAGAGTGTGGCTGACATGGGAGGAAGACATCTCCTCAAGGTGGCATGGGGTATCCAAATATTGCATGGAATAGTTATACTAAAAAATTATTTTTGATTTATCTGAAATTACAATGTAACCTAGTATCCTGTATTTTTATGTACTAAATCTGGCAACCCTACATGGGTATCTTTTTGACAGTGAGGACGCTCTACCAGAAGTTGGGTGCTCCTGTATCATTGATCACAACTGAGACCCATGCCCATGCTGGCTCCAAACTTCAGCAAGGGAAGCGGAGCCTGCATAGATGACTTGGATCACTATGGATCATCCCTTTGGGCCTCCTGGAGAACATGGACATGAGGTAAAACGAAGGGCTTGGGAGACATAGAAGGGGAAATGGGAGTCAGAAAGGCAATCAGCCCCATTACCATCATTATTACAGGGGCTCCAGAGCTGACACCCTCCTTTCCAGCCCATGTATTCTTAGTTCTTGGTCTGACCTTGCTATGGAGGGAGCTGGATACATGAAGTGGGATGACCTCCAGCCTGCATTTCTCTTTACTTCTTGGCATGTCCTTGAGCAGCGACTGCTTCACATCCTCCACGTTTTTCAGGACGATGCCTCAATGGTCCTGCTGTGGAAGGAAAGCTGCTCTGCAGGAGTCAGAAGACATTATTCTCTGAGTGGTGGATTCAGTTCTGGATCACATATACCCATGGGCAAGCAAGCTTGGCTTTCAAGTCCTCTCTCAACTCCCATGCAAAAGGGAGTGTTCAGTGTAAAGAACTTAAAGTCCCTTTTCACCCTGGTTATCTTTTAGCAGAGTCACCTCCTGGCTCTTCCTACCCGAATCAAGCTTTGACATTGCTTAGGAGCCTCTCATTTTTTCTGATTTTTTAAATCAAAATTCTAAAAAATGTCAAATATATCCTGGGCACTGTTCAGTAGGCATTGCTGATAAAAGATGCACAAAGTGTGCTGAGCACACAGTCCAAGAGAAGTGCCAGACATACAAACAGCCAAGTACCACTCAGTGTGGGGCATGCCGCTGCAGAATTATAGAGGACATACTGGAGGATCTCTGAAAAAGGAGGGAGCAAATTTCTCTATCCCAGGGAACCCAGGAGGAACTCAGAGAGGAGGTGATTCCTGAGCTGGGTCTTTAAAGGTGAGCAGGGTTTCACCAGTCAGCGAAGAGCCTGGTGTGTTAGGGGAGCAAAGGGAGGCTCCATGTGGACAGAAAGAAGGTTTTGATAATGAAGAGAGGTAAAGGGCCTACTTGCCTAACCACAGGGACAAAAGAGCAGGATGGGCTGAGCACGGTGGCTCATGCCTGTAATCCCAGCAGTTTGGGAGGCCGAGGTGGGCAGATCACCTGAGGTCAGGAGTTCGAGACCAGCCTGGCCGACATGGTAAAACCCCATCTCTACTAAAAATACAAAAATTAGCAGGGTGTGGTGGTGCAGGCCTGTAATCCCAGCTACTCGGGAGGCTGAGGCAGGAGAATCACTTGAACCCAGGAGGGGGAGGTTGCAGTGAGCCAAGGTTGTGCCACTACACTCCAGCCTGGCAGACAAGAGTGAAACTCTGTCTCAAAGAAAAGAAAAGAAAAAGAAAAAGAAAAAAGAGAACACAACAACAAAAAGTAGCAGGATGCATCCAGCGAGTTTTGTGCACACCTAGAAGACAATTATTTTTAATGCATTAATTCTTAAAAGGCCTTTGCTAGCAGCATTAATTCTCTTAGGTGATATTGAAGCTTCTTAACAAATAGCATTGCCAGCAATGCATTTCATAGTGATGTGACTCAGTATCCTAGAACAGTGCTTAAACACAGTGAGAATGTGTCAACCCATACACACTTAATAATTCACAATGTGGATCCCAGCAGAATGGCTGAGCTCCACAAGCAGCATTCACCCTGCCTTTCCATCTCATAGTGTTTTATAACATCGTCAGCCTAAATGAGGCGCCTAGAAGGACAAGTGGTGGTTTTCAGGTTGAAAATCAGTGTCCATTCCTTCCCATGGGAAGCTGACATCTCATTTTTTAAGGGTGACATGCCATTACAAAGACGCATTGAAAGGTGAAAATTCAAGCACGCTCTTGAACATCCTAAGTGGCACACGAGCTATAAAGAAACTCTCATTAGGTGTAATGACTCTTCTACCTTGAAATGGAGGGGAAGGACATACGCTACAAGAAAATAGAACACATGTTGGGTAAATATAAGCACGCTCTCAAAGAAACCAGAACAGGCAAGGTTTCATTCCCTTTACATCTACAATAAAGCAAGCCAAAATATGGAGCCATATGTAGATGAGCTTAGGTTTAGTTAGGAGCTTTCTTTCAAGAATGACCATGGCAGAGTGCAAAAAGTACCTACATTGGAGGGAGGATGGCATTCTGATTTTTAGCAAGTGCCATTTAGTTATCATTGTCATCATCACCGGCAGGGTCTGGGAATGACATTCACCTGAGCAAGCTGAGATTTCTTTGAAAAAGTCTCCCCAAGTGAAGGGGCTTTATAATCTCCACATTGAGGTCAGGAGACTGAGAAAGACGGCAAGACATCTTACCCAAAGTTACACAGCTAGAGCGTGATTGCACCTCAGTAAGACCAGGTTTCCCTCAAACCAGATGGAGCATCTTTCCATGGAAACCTAGAAAAAGCAACTTATTTTCTCAAGTTCACCAGACCCTGGAGGGGTTGCAACTTGATCCAGGTACCCCATTTTTCTGGTTGAGTTCAGATTCTGCCCTTTCGGTTTGCTGGGAATAGCTCCCTCTCTTAAACCTTCCGACCATTTTACACTTTTGGTCAACTTTCCTTCAATAACTTTAGTCTCTGGTATTTCTGCTTTCTATGTGAAAGGGAATAACTTGATAACCTTTAAAATCCTTCTTTAGAGAAAACAGAAATAGCCATTTATATTCCTGCTGCAATCCTCATGGCTCTGCCTGCCTCTGAACTGGTTTTCCTAGCTCCGTGCTCCTTAGGCTTTGTTAACAACCTCTCTTTGAGGTTAGGGTGAGGAATGGTAATTCAGCTATTCACAGGGGCTGCTGGAGGCAAGCCTGAAAGGTGTCCAGAGAGCCAGCAGGCACGGGCCATGCTTTCAATGGAAAAGGGCAAGAGTCAAGAGTCATTTCCCCATGTGGTATGTATGTGAGTGTGAGAGAGAAAGAGAGAGAGATGAGAGAGAGAGAGAGAGAGAAGAGCGATTATGGGAGGGGCGGGAAAACATCAATATATGCCCTTCCAAAATAAATTTAACTTCTGGCAGAATCTTAGTTTCCAAATAGGCTTGTGGAATCTTCACTTTTTCCTATTTCAAAGCTTCCTGTTGCATCCAGCATTTCTAGAAACACTCCTTTGTAGAACAACAGCACTGTAAGAACAAAGGGGCACCATAAAATAGAAATTGGGACACAACGCGTTCTTTTCCAAACAGCAATATATCAAAGGCTTGGTTCTCATCCCATGAGGGGAGAGACTCCTAAGGTTAGGCATGGTTTGAGTATTCCCTTCCTGCCTGCATGCTATGATGTGAGAAAATATAAAAACCCAGCACAGAATTTCCAGCACTCTGAACGTACAAGGAAGACTAAGACCAAAACTCCAAGAGTCGTCCCTGTGGGTGGCTGGCATGTCAGAACTCAGTGACCCCATGTTCTGACTCTAGCTTTTTATTTTCCCTTTGGGGCAACCAGTTTGCTTCCCACTGACACCATTACAACAGACCCTAGGCTGTGGTGTCTTGTTTTCTATTTAACATCTCTGTCCAGGCATTCATCTCTTCCTTTGTTCCTTTTCATATAGTTAAGACAGCCTGTCTTTTCCAGAAGACTTTATTGAACCCTAAAAGACGAAAAATGGAACATAAACTCAGTGAACATAAAGGCCATTAAGGTGTGAGCATGGATCTGGGGGGTAAGGGAATCTGTTTTTACCTGCATGTTTCTCTCTTGTGAAACTCCTTTAAGCAGTGGCACAAAAGAAGACCTTATGCCAAGTTCCAACTTGAAACCCATCAGTTAAAACTTGGATGCATAATGTATAGATACCACGGAATATAATTCAGCCTTGAAAAAGGAAGGAAATTCTGATACATTCTACAACATGGATGAACCTTGAGGACATTATGCTGAGCAAAAATAAGGCAGTCAGAAAAAAACAAATACTATATGATTCCACTTAAATGAGGTACTTAGAGCAGTCAAATTCATAGAGACAGAGAGGAGAATGATGGTTGCTAGGGGCCGGTGGAGAGGGAGAAATTGGGAATTACTATTGAATAGGTACAGTTTCATTGAAGTCACTTTAAAACGATTATGGGTTAACCATCTTAACACTGAAAAAGTGGCTAAGATTGTAAATTTTATCCTATATGTTTTACCACAATTAATTTTTTTGATTCAAAATGTTGAGTGGGTTTCAACAATGATTTTGACTTTTCAGCCTGGTTCCAGAGCCCACCAATAGGTATCTAAACTACAAGTTATTTTCTCGACCTTGTTAGAGACACATGAGATTCTACATTAAATAATTTAAACTGATTTTTTTCAACTAACTTTTATGTTTAAACAACCAAACTCACTACTCCAGTGAGTCTTTGCCATTCAGATTAAGAATTGGCCAGGCATGGTGGCTCACGCCTGTAATCCCAGCACTTTGGGAGGCTGAGGCAGGTGGATCACCTGAGGTCAGGAGTTCGAGACCAGCCTGGCCAATGTGGTGAAACTCCGACTCTACTAAAAATACAAAAATTAGCCAGGTATGGTGGCAGGTGCCTATAATCCCAGCTACTCGGGAGGCTGAGGCAGGAGAATTGCTTGAACCCAGGAGGCAGAGGTTGCAGTGAGCTGAGATAGCGCCATTGCACTCCAGCTTGGGCAAAAAGAGCAAAATTTGGTCCAAAAAAAAAAAAAAGAATTAAGGGTGCCTGTCAGGGTAAGCACAAAACAGAACTGCGGCACTGTGGCATGAATGACTTTCAAGAAGGTAACACCAAATGATAGCTGGAAAGGAAGATCTACCATCCTTTCTATTAGTTAATTATCTTGTCCATTTATTTTTGTAGTCATTTAATAAATAATCTTATCGACCTTTTTTAAAATCTTGGAACAGTAAGAGAGATACTTTCATTTCTTCATCCAGTTTCAAAGCCTGGGGAAAAAAAGACATGCATGCACAACGAAGTAATCAACTTTAGATTCTGCTGACATTTATTAAGCTCCTACAGTAGG